TTCGGTTTGTTAGCTCGGCTAAGATAAATCAAAAAAGATGGTGTTTTGACTTGTTAAAACTACTGGTACAAGTGTTGGTTCGGTTGAATGATCTGGCTAGACTTACACATAGCATAAACAGTATCCTAGTTCGGTTGAGACGTGTTTATGAATCAAACAGAGTATTCTACAGATTGCTTCATAAAGTTCATGGGGTTCTCATGAAGTTTTTTCCCAGAAAATAAAGCAACAAAAAAACAAAAAACAGTATTTCGTAAAAACACATGAAACAGATTGTTGTGGATTGTATAAAGCAAATACGAAAACAACAAAAGCAAGAAAGATAGATTTGAGTAACTTACCAGATGAAGGAGCACTGAAGAAGAAGCAGTGGCAGTGAAGAACACGAGCTCCTTGGGAACGAGAAGGTATGCGAGAAAGAGAGAGAAAAGACGTGAATAGGAAGATGTAATGATTCAAGAAGAGAAACAAAAGGAGTTTGTTTTGATGCGAGGCCCAAAATTTGGGCGAGACTGTTCAAAAAACACGAAGTACGATGACGGTGTGACAGCTACCTTCAGCCAATAAGAGTATGCCACGTGTCCTATGGATTAGAAGCGATTCAGTTGCTGTGATTGAAGAGACGTTTGAACCGGACAGGTACAGATTTGTGTGATCCTAGCTCGGCTGAAAAGGCTAAGAGTTTTAGCTCGGCTGGAAAAGCATAAAGGCTTAGCTCGTTAGTAAAATTAAAATTTTTTAGCTCGGCTGGAAGACAAGGTAATCCCATCATGCTGCGCAGATGGAATTAAGGGGCAATTGAGAGGGTAATTTGTATGAATAAATTGGGCCGAGATTGAGTAATGGGCCGCTTTGGGCCGTAGTAAGAAAGGTGGAGTAAAATAATTTTTTTTCATTAGCTCGGTCAAGAAGGCCTTGTTGTTATCTTGGTTGCCACGGCCAAATCGGTTAGTTCGGTCATGGCATACAAAACCGAGGTGAAAGTGAGAAAGTATACTGAGCCCTCTTCAGGACTTGGTTTTGGGTTAGTTCGGCGTAGGCTCTTCTATGGATAGCTCGGTCTTGGCATGTGAAGCCGAGGTAGGGGAAAAACAAGGAATAGCCGAACTAACAGTTAGATCGGTTACTCCAGTCAGTATAGCATGGCAATATTATTTCGGTTGTATGGTAGTCCGGTCATGGTATAACCATCTCACTTGGTTTAAGCAGTGAGGGGGGTGTTGAAGGATAAACATTATCCTTTAGGAGTATGAATCCTAGGGAGACTCTACATGGAGGAGTAAGAGTCCTACTTGGATTGTGCCACATGAAACCTATAAAAGCTCACAAACATCACCTATGGAGAGGTAACACAATTTTGATTCCTGAATACACAGAGCTTTTGTCTACTTGTCTATTTTGCTGACTTAGGCATCGGAGAGGTTTCTGGCACAAACCTGCTGGCTAGCTCACATTTGTGTTTTCAGGAAGTAAACGTTTGGAGGAGTGCAGACTTGATCAACAGAATTATACGAGAAGGTTTATTTCTTTCCCGTACACCTTTTAACTGCAAATTTTATATTTAACTGTGCACAAAACACAAAAAACATGGGTCATTCTATTTGAATCCAAAAATTATTTCAATAAACTCAATTCAAATTTCAAAATTTTAATGCCTATTATACCTTAATATAAATTTATTAATAAGGGCAACACATATTAAATATTAAATTTTTTTTTTCCTTTTGGTACACCCATCAATTACACGTATTTTTTTTTTATTCAAATCTCTTCATCTTCTTTTCCAAATTTCAATTATTTTCTATTCTTTTTATTTCTCACTCCAAAACTCCAATCTACCCCACCAAAACCCACCATTATCAACAACATCATTTATTATTATTATTATTATATTGTTACTAGCAAAGAGAAGAAATTTTGAACAAAATTAAACAATGGATGAGAATAATAATCAAAATAATTTTTTGAAACAACCCACCAAAGAGGAGATAAGTATTCACATAACTATTAAAATATAATTATTTATATTTGTGTTTTTTTTACATAAAAGCGAATATTCATCTTGTTTTTCGTTATCATTGTTCGAACTTTCAAAACTGAATAATTTCACTTTGATCAGTTCTAAAAGCCTGAACAATAATAACTAAAAATAGGTTGAATATTCATCGTCCTTTGTCACCGTTCTCCTTCTCCTTTACCATCTTCCTTCGCCGGTGCCAGATTTCCTGTATGTACGTGAACAAAAAAAAGATTTTTCAAAAATAATTTGAATTTTTGAATTTGTTTTATTTGGGTGTACCTCAAAAAGGATAATTTGAAGAAAAAAATAGAAATGTATTAAAAATAAATTATAATTTTAAATAATTTAATAAAGTGTACTGAACAATTGGCTCACTTCAACAATTTTTTAAGTGTAAATAGAATCCCCAAAAAACATAGATGTGAACGTGATTAACGTACAACCAAGACTCATAATTTGGCCAGCCCAAGCCCAAACCCAAATCCTAAATAGGGTATCCCAACCTAAGTGAAGCCTAGGCTTAGAGTTTGAAGCCCAACTTGGTGGGTGTACCCATAAGAGGTGCCCAGTTGGGCTGCCTAGGGGTGTAAATTTGGCATAGCTCGGCCCACTCGAGCCTAGGCCCGCCTATGTCAGGACTTGCGGGCTCCCGCAAAAAATCGGGCCGGGCCAAGCTGACTTATGGGCCAAAAAATTAGACTTAGGCCCAGGCATAGGGGTATTCGGGTTTTGGGCGGGCCTAAACAAATTTTTTCATTTTTTTTTTATTTTTTCCACTAAAATTTTATTATTTTTTACTAAAAATAACACTAGGCATCAAAACGATGGCTTAGGCTCAGGCCCAAGGCCTTAGGTTGGGCTTAAGCCTAAATGGGACAGGCTCACTCTGGGCCGCGGGGGGGCTCTGGGTTGTCCACGGGCCACAGGCCATTTTTATACTCCTAGGTTGCCTATAGGACCGGCACACAAGGCGATAAAAATTATGAAAAATAAAAATAAATATAAAAAAAAAAATAACACTTAAATCTGGGCTCTTGAGTTTGGGGGTGATTCTATTTGCACCCAAATGATAACTCAGTACAGCTAATTAAAATTTTGAAATTTTAATTTCTATTATACCCTAATGTAATTTTACTAATAAGGATAATACACTTTAAACCTTAAAATTAAATATTGTTTTTTTTCTTTTCTCATGGTATATCCAAATTACTTATATATATTCTTCATATTCAACTCTATTCACTTTCTTCACCAAGTTTCAATTATTATTTTTTTCATCTTCTTCCTCAAAAATTTCAATCCACCTCACCAAAACTCACTATTATCACCAATATCATTATTTATTCTCTTATCTCTCTACAAACCCACAAACTTTCCCTGTATGTAAACAAAAGAAATAACTCTAATGAGAAATCTATTCAAGAATTTTGGAAAGGGTTTTTTCTTTTCTTTTATTTTTTTTTTGGGGTCAAAATTATATAAATCTTGTTGATAAAAGATGGAAAAACCATAAAGAATAACAAACATCTTTCTTCAAAAAGGAGGACGAAACTCCCGTATAAGAGTACCAAGCAAACTCACACCACGTCTTGCCAGATAATGTGCTACACAATTAGTCCACCTTCTTGCAAAACTCAACTCACAGCACCTAGAATTATTCAATCATCTAACATCATTAATGAGTCCTTCCACATTTGCAACCACCATTGTCTCATTCGATATCATACAAATGCCCTGCTATGCATCACCCTCAAGGACAATATTCCAAAGCTGTAGCTCTAGTGAAAAAAGTAAGGTCTCTCGCGCAGCCAAAACTTCAATGGTGAGACGATCCAAATTTGTTTGGAGAGTTAGAGAGAGGATCGGAATTGATAGAGAGGTGGGGACCCATTAATATTGTGTTTTTTTTTAGAGATAGGGACGGGATTGATATTGAGCTTCGAATTTGGATGGCTCCTCCAAGGGGATTCGGATGGGCCTCCAAGACTTGTAATTAGAAAAATAGTTTGCCAGACTAGAAATTTTTTTTTTATTTATTTTTTATTTTATTTTTTACATGTTGGACATTTTTTTTGAACATTAATGTTTAATTTTTTATATTTTTTGTTAGGTAAAAATCATTATTTCATTTATTTTATTTATTTTGGAAATTTTTTTATTTATTTTTTATTTTTTAATTTTTTTTACATATTGGGCATTTTTTTAAAAAAATTAATGTTTAATGTCTTTGTATTTTTTTTATTTGTTTTATTGTTTTATATTTATTTTATATAAAAATAATTTAACAATCCCTACACTAACAACTATCATCAAACAAACACAATTTTACTTAATCTCCTCACAAATAATTCCTTCACTATTAATCCACTCACTATAAATCCTCTTCATTTTATTTCTGAAAACAAACGGACCTACTGATAAACATAAGCTCTCTCTTGCAGCCAGAACTTCAATGGTGAGAGGATCCAAATTCCTCCGCATATGCACAGTTCTAGCAGCTATGAAATTGTCATGGGAATTTAGGATTTTTGATATGTTTATTATTTAGGTATACCTTAAAAGGTAATTTAAGAAAAAAATATAGGGTGTATTGAAAATAAATTATAATCTTAAATAATTTAATATTATGTATTGAAAAATTAAGTATATTTAATGATTTTTTAGATAGAAATAGAATTCCCCTGAATTCGGCCGTTGACATGCCTATCTATCTACCAGTCTGATGAGCCCATTTGTACCAAAGTCAATTGGGTAGGACTTGGGCCCCAAATTTTGGCTGATCTGAGCCCGCCAAAAAAAAAAATCTGCTGGACTTAGCCCACAAACGGGCTTAGGCATCATTATTGAACCTAGCCTGACCTAATGTCGACAACATTCTCCATCTTACAAAGTGCAGCAAAATAACAAATAAGCAATAATGAAATAAAAACACCTCATTTATAGTAAAGTTTGGATCTATATTTGCCACAGAAAGTCAACGTAGCTAGAAGGGGCTGGGCAAAATATATGATTGAATGATAGAAATGCCAATATGATATATTCAAATGTTTTTTTAATTTTTATTTTGTTCCAATTTGAAGACACACAACATGCACACCTTAAAATTAAAATAAAAACAAAATTTAAAATAAATACACACACATACATACATACAGATATATATATATATATATATATATAAAATAGTTATTTTCCTCTTCAGCACTCTAGAGCTTTGCCGGAATTCTGAGAATTGACAACCTCATCACGAACTGCTAGTCTGATTACTCGATTGTCCCTTGAAAATGTCAAACACTCCTGTAAGACATCATCACAGGCTATTAGAATCCAATCATGATCCTCATCCTCATACTCCACATAGAAGCTGCCATGCTCTAACTCCAGTCTCCTTGCCAATTCTTCCTTCAACTTAACAATTCCTGATGTTGCAGGGGGTGGCACTCTCACAGTCTTGTCTCCATATGTTGCCTTTATGGTTGCAGTCCTTGCATTTTGCTTCTGAAGGTGATTGATGGTTAGTAATTTAGAACTTGAATGGATTTCACTACAATCTAAAAACCATAACAATAATTTTATATACATAAACAAACAATTTTGGTGAGATGCTAATCTCTTATGAGTCCTGCATTTTACATAAAAATTAGGACCCATATTTGCAATGAAGATTAATCGCATTTTGTTATACAATTGGGAATATTTCTGGATTTAAATAATGTTTTTCAAAGTGAACTAAAGGCTAATCCGACAGGGAAAAGTTGATTGAAAAGCACAAGAGTGTCACCAAAATAGATGATATGGGTACTTTTGCAAACTTAACTACTCCAAAATTGAAAGAGGACCAGCGTATATATATATCTGCTTTCTCTGCCATTTACAAACCAGCTACAAAACAAGTCTACACAAACGGCAGTTCTGAAATTGTGAACATTTACAGGGGCATTTTTGGGAGTGTGCGCATTAGGACGCAGCATGGAGCTTACACACTTCACATATTTATTAAAGATACCATGAAGATATCAAAAACTAGTTAGTGGCTTTCTTATCTTGGGATGTCCACGAAAAGAACCAGAAACTTTGGCAAAGAAGAATTTCGAGCTGATTTTCTTTTGCATTGAAATCAAATATATAATGGCTTTGAGTAACATATTATATTACTCATTGTTTTCACAGTTAATTAATATTTCAAAACTATCCATTTTATATAGTTAATCTGATTTCGAAACTATTTGTCAAACATTTCTCGACCTATCGAGTCTTTTAGATTGCGAAGTATAAAAGTATGACCCCACAGAAATAGGAGAAGAAAGGGCTAGACTAATTTGAAATAGACAGGGAACTTACACAGTGACGGTGTTTTGGGGACGAAGTAGATGGAACATCTGAGCCAACTCGTTTCTGGGGACTTAAGCAAGACCTAGTTGTCACCCCTTCAACTGATTGAATGAGTATATCTTCTGTTGTTTTTGACATCTCAATCGTTGCGTCTTGCTCTGCCCTGAGATGTGGCATTATTTGAGGAAGAGTAGACGTGGCTTGCATTGGAGCTGGTGCTGGATCTGCAGTTGATGGTGTCTTACAAGAGGGCGATGTCTTTTTTTCTCTCTGGCGTTTAGAGGGTTTAGAGAATGGTGAGTTGTGATGATTCGATCCAACAGCACCAGTATGTGAACCTGTCACAAAATGACCAAATGCTCCTGCTGCACCTTGGTCAGAGTCATCTGCAAGCTTCTGACGAAGGGAAAGACATAGCTTTTTATTCCTGTGATGTGGCCACCGGGAGATACCATTCACCCTACAGTGGCGCTTGAATGTAGGTATGCTAACTGCATGAATCCAGCTTCACTTATTAAGCATGTTTTAGAGACGAACCAGATTATAAGCAAGATAGACTAGACTGTGTAAAAGCTTACCACCAAGTTCCTCTGCAGCAGCTTCACGCGTCCAACCAATAAGTGGTAGGAGTTCTCTAATTGTAATTTTCTTCTGTGAACAAGTTGTAGTGCAATTTTTGTTTGCACTAACAACATTCCCTCCAATGTTTGTAGCATCAAATCCCACAGATGACTCTTGTTCTGATGAATCAACCAGCATATTCTTCCCTACATTTGGAAAGGCGTCAGGCTGAAGTGCAGGTCCAGCAGGCTGGGGTATTTCGATACATTGAGGCCTCAAATAAAGTTCCGTAGAGGGATTGACCTCTTCTGCAGAACCCTTCATGGTTGCCAATTGTAAGTCCAAAAGTGGTAATTAGTAATTTTGGACATATTGATTTCACTACAAACTAAACACAACAATGATAATTTTATCTACATAAACAACAATGTTGGTGAGATGCCAATCTCTGATAAGTCTTGCATATTACATAAAAATTAGGACCCGTGTATTTGCAATCAATATTAATTGTTGCTATACAATTGAGAATGTTTCTGGGTTTGAATATCGTTTCTCAGAGTGAACTAAGGCTAATCCAATGGGGAAAAGTTGGTTGATAAGCTAAAGAGACCAAAATGGAACTACCACAAATTCTGTCAAAATGCCTATAAATTTTGACAAGTAAACTTAAAAATTATGCCAAATTTGAGATTTCAAATTACAATATTAAAAAACTGGGTTGTACGGTTTGGTCATCGATCTTCACATTTCCCAAGTTACTAACTAGATGGTCCTCCATTTATTGAAACCAATCACCTTGTTTGGTTTGAATCTCTTTTCTGTGGTTTTTATGCACAGATGCTGCATCCATTGACAATTGACAAGGGTCAGTACATATATATCTGCTAACTCTGCTATGTCCCTACAAACCTGCTGCTTGGCTATTTTTATAATACCATGAAGACATCAATAACTAGTTAGTGACTTCCTTATCTTGGCATGTCCATGAAAAGAGCCATAAACTTTGGCAAAAAAGAAATTCAAGCTGATTTTCTGCAGCATTGAAATCAAAATATATAATGGCTTGAATAACATATTATTCAAATGTTTTCATAGTCAGTGTGCCAAACTATCCATTTTATATATTTGATCCGATTTAACAATTCATAAACATTCACTGAAAAATATAAGTGAATTATCTGGTATAAAGCAGAACAAAAAAACAAGTTTACTGCAGAAAAATTCCCACTTATAAATGAAGATCTGACATGACATGACATGAGACTGTTAACAGAACAGGGAGAGAACAAACCTGAGCAGTATTAACCGTGGGTAGCTTCAGAGCTGGATTAGAACATGGTAACTCTATCGATGAATTGATACATCTTTTCGCTTCCGGAAAACACTCCTCCGTTGTTACCAACTGGAATTCCAAAAGAGGTAATTAATAATTTAGGACTTGCATGGATTTCACTACAATCTAAAAACCACAATGATAATTTTATCTGCATAAACAATACTACTGATAAGTTGATCCAATTTATAATTTTATGTACATAAAATGGATAGTCAGAAGTCAGTATTTCCAAACTATCCATTTTATATATAGTTTATCTGATTTCACAAAACATAACCGTTTACAGAAAAATGTAAGTGAACAATCTGATACAAAGCACAAGTGAAAAACAAGTTTACTGTAGGGACAGGACAAGACAGAGGAAGATTGTCCTGTGCAATTGATCCTGATAAGCATTGAGGTGGCAGTGGACTTGCTGAAACTACTTCTAATTCACTTGCTGAACTCCAACATGGAGTTGTCATTGATTTATCAGTTTCCATTTGTACTGTTGTTACAGTAACCGCATTATTCCTTGTCACGACATCTGGTACTGTGCAAGGAAGAATAGCCCTGTGTTGCTCCAGAGCTGGATTCGCAGATTGGCACTCTGGCCAAGTAGGTTCGTTACGTCCCTCCAACGTCTCTGTTGTTGGAGGAAACCATATCAAATGATTTGGAGTTCCAACATTCTCGCTTAAATAGCCTATCTCCGAATCAAAATCACATTGGTACTCTGGCCACAAATGATTTGGAGTTCCAACATTCTCGGTTAAATAGCCTATCTCCGAATCAAAATCACATTGGTACTCTGGCCAAGTAGGTTCGTTACGTGACAAACATATCAAATGATTTGGAGTTCCAACATTCTCGCTTAAATCGCCTCTCTCCAAATCAAAATCCCATAAAGCCTCCACAATTTCTTCAAAATCCCATAAAGCCTCGTCAATGTCCTCTTGGCCACAAGGCCTCCTACGCCTGGCTTGGCAAACATGTTGGGCTAAATACAAAAAAATGTAAAAAAAACCAAAAAGACAAAAAACAAAAAAAGCCAACAAAGAGTTTGCCATTCCAAAGTCAAAAACCAAAAAAGGCCGAACAAGAAAACCACACAAACCAAAAAGTCCCAGGCAAAAAAGTCCCAGGCTATGTGTAAGTGGTGGGAAATATGGTTTCCTGGCACGGATATGAGACCGAGGAATGATATGAGACACATCAATATGAGACATCGGTTCAGGTCTGAACAGTGGTAAGAATGTCGAGTGTGTCAGACAAGGCAGATTACGCAGAATACCAAAATCAAATGGCATATCAATTCTTCCCAGGTCTAAACGTGACACATGACGCAAAGACAGAAAATTGATAGGTTGTGACAGAATGAGGGCTAAATGAGAATAGAACTGGAAGCGGATTGACAACCCAAAGGAAATAAAAAACCGCTCTACTCTGTAAGCCATGTGGGGAGTTGGTGGTAGAGGAACACCAAAGAAATCCAGCGACAGGCTCTGATCTTGCCATGGCACCTGGACGGCGCGCCAACCGGTGTGCACTTTCTGAGGTGATAACACGAGCATGCTCGGATCTGATCCGATTTCATCAGGATTATCCGACCTGTCAGAATTTTGTTGGTCTTCCTCATCATCGTACATTTTCAGAAGATTACTCACAATCCGGCGAAAGTAAAAGATAGTTATGGGCTTCTGTAATATATCAAGCCCACAATCCCCCCTCCTTATCCATGCAAACATTACATTTTATACACAAAAAAAACATACAAGAATCGGATTTTCTGAATGGATATATTTACCTCATGGAGGGTTCATAAACCCTTTTCTTCCCTGACTGATACAGTTGATCCCTCTTTCTTCAGAGCGTTCTCAAATCTTCAAAACCCACCTACCAGCAAAAGGGGCTCAGTCAACTAACCCTTTTCCTACTCGCGGAGTCGTGATGATCCCTTCTTACCAGGAAAAGGGGCTCAGTAGAACCTCCCTAAGTTATTTATTATATTATTTATATTTATTTATTTGTATATTTTTTTTCAATAATGCTGCAACCCCAAGCAAAAGGGGCTCACTCAACTAACCCTTTTCCTACTCTCGGAGCCGTGATGATCCCTTCTTACCAGGAAAAGGGGCTCCGCAGAACCTTCCGAAATTATTTATTATATTATTTATATTTATTTATTTGTTTATTTTTTTTCAATAATGCTGCAACCCCAAGCGAATGACCAGAAAAATTACCGAAAATGGCTTTTTGGCTATCACTTAGCAATTTGGAATTGGTCCGACGGGACCTGATCTCTCAATTTCGATTTGAACGATTTTTTCTCAAAAAACACTCCCAATGAGGAGGGGGTGGTATTTAAAAATTGATCTACGATCAATTTCACCGTCGTCCACCTTCGTCGCAGTCACCATCGCTGATTGCAACCACTGTTGTCCACCTTCATCGCAATCACCATCGCCTATCGCAGCCACCGTCGTCCACCTTCGTCGCAGTCACCATCGCTGATTGCAACCACTGTTGTCCACCTTCATCGCAATCACCATCGCCTATCGCAGCCACCGTCGTCCACCTTCGTCGCAGTCACCATCGCTGATTGCAACCACTGTTGTCCACCTTCATCGCAATCACCATCGCCTATCGCAGCCACCGTCGTCCACCTTCGTCGCAGTCACCATCGCTGATTGCAACCACTGTTGTCCACCTTCATCGCAATCACCATCGCCTATCGCAGCCACCGTCGTCCACCTTCGTCGCAGTCACCATCGCCGAACTCAAATTTGTTTGATGACACACAGATCTCAGATTTGTGTTGATTGATGATGCACACTCAGATCTGTCTCTATTTGTCTTTTTTTTTTGGTAGTTGATGCATGTTGATGATGTTCTTGATTGATGATGCACACTCATATCTATTCACCATCGCCGGCTCAGATCTATTTGATGACACACAGATCTCATGATTTTTTTTGATGATTTTCTTGATGATTTTGTTGATATTAAAAGTTGTTGATGATGTTGAAACAGATTTGGGTGGGAAATTTTCAAGGTCAGGGAAACCCGATCCCCGTTAGGGGGCAGGAATGGAGACGATGACAGGTTTCCCGTCGGGGATCGAGGCCAGGGCCGGAGAATTTTTTACCATCGGAGATCGAGGACGGGGAATGTGATCACCAGCCTCGCTCCGCCCCATTGCCATTCCTAATCACTTCAACAAATGGTTCCACTATTTCACTCCCGAAAATGTTTCGAAGCTCTAGAGCTGCTCGAATGACGTGACTCCGACGTGGCAATCACTATTGCTAACTTACCTTTTTCTCTCTCTTTCTCATTCTCGATTTTAAATTTCAAAAATATTTTCAGAGTCTTCTTCTCTCTCTCTCTATTCACTCATTCTCTTCCCTCTCTCGCTCTATTCGTTGTTGTCTCTCTCTCTCTCTCTCTCTCTCTCTCTTTGACCTCTCACTCCCCAACGAGCGCGGCTCTACTCCAACCCCGCCAACGATCGACTCTCTCCGACTGAGTCTCTCTATCTCCCTCCATACTCACTCCCAACAATCAACTATCTCGCTTCTCGGCTTCTCCTCAGTCCCACCAGATGGTGAAGGACTCTCTATCTTCTCTCAACTTTTTTTCCGACCAAGCCGATCGAGCCTGTATCTTCTGTTGCCGACCAAATCTCTGTTCCGACGAGCAGCCAATACCAGCGACTCCAACCTTAGAGGTATATAACTTAGAAATTGATTTAGGATTAGAGCTTGTGTCTGTGTGTCTGTGTGTATATAACAATATAACTTACAAATTGATTTAGGCATAATATAGTGTCTATGTCTACGTAATTTAGAAATTGATTTAGGGCTTATATGTATGTTTCTGTGTATATATGACTTAGAAATTGATTTGGGGCTTCTATGTATGTTTCTATCTATATATGACTTACAAATTGAATTTGAACAAATTAAAACAATATTGCTAGTTACATGAAGTTTGGTGTTCTATTGTTTTGAAGCCTTATCATTTTTTTAATATAAAAAAAAATTAATTGTTGCAAGTAAATTAACTTGGATTTTTACTTCTGTAACAGGTTTTACAGGAATTTTATATAATTGTAACTCATAGGACTTAGATTTTGCAAATTTATAAAAGTAAGAAATTTGGTTAACTAATTGATAGGGAGAAGAGATAAAGCGACTTATATTTCATACTAAAATTATATAAAATATAATTTTCTTTTGTTAGATGTATAGAGGTCTTGGAATAGTGTTTTTTTTTTTTTTTTTTTGGGACATTAAAATGTGAGAAGAAGACGTTGGATACCCTAATACACTTTACTGGACCCATTTCCTAATATATTAAGATTTTGGACAAATCGGTGACTTAACATGATTATCAGTTTCTTTATAGATCCGATGTATTCTTTATTCTCTTTACTCCAACAATCAGGTTCTATTAGGTTTTTTTTGGTACTCTAAAAAATGCTAGGGAAACTATGATGGATGATTGGTAAAACTTGAAATTCTTTTGAGGAACATTTTTTCTCCTTCAAATTGTAAACAGTTCATCTTTGCGACAAATATGTTTTGCTCCAAACAATAGGTCTAAAAGGGGAGGAATATGCCATAGAGTTGTCAATGGAGGAAGGAATACAATATATTTAATTATTTTAAAAAATAAAATAAAATCGTAGTTATCAATGCCATTTCTCACCACTGAAAACATTGGTTTCAACCCCCAAATATCTATATTACATTTCACAACAGCTTTTGAAAATATTGTGATTATAGTTTATTCCATTTGAAAATTCACTGATTAGATTTGTTTTGGTTTCTTTCTAGCAAGATGTTATTTGCTTGAAAGAGCATAGTCAATGGAATTAATTTGGATATCTAACAATAAGAATTGAACACGACCTTTTGTGTTTTATGTACCAATGGCTTACAAATTATGAGCACACACATACCATTGCATGTGCAAGTGTGTGCAAAGGTATACCAGATCCGTTAAATCACAATCACTCAAAAATTCATCACATATGCAATAAAACAATACTTTTACTGAAAGAAAGTAAAATCTCATAGACTTGCTGTTGGGAATATAATTCATAAAAGGAACAATCTTCCTCAACAATAGACATATGACAACCTAACAACAGATACAAATCAATGCATCAAAACCCACATAATATCATGACAATACCATGACAAAGATATTCAAACATAGATAAATTTGAAAAGAATACTTTTTCACAACCATGGTCCTAAAAACAACCTAAAGTCATATCAATAAACCAAGCTGGATGATATCCATACCAAATCAACCATAGTCCTGAACACAAACTAAATTATCCAAACTAAGAGAGGTGCTACATTATCCAAAATAAACCAAATTATCCAAACATACATAAAGTAAACAATCCAAAAAAACATAAACTAAATTATCCAAAACAAAATAAACTCCAAGTTCAGTCACATAAAATGCATTAAAATTACAAGTTTCCAATTAACGAAAACGAGAGTCATTTCGGTCCATTTGTACATTCAAGTCAACAAAAGAAGATGGTACGACTCCATAAATTTTATACATAGCATGTAGGACAATCTTCACTGTATTTAAAAAGATTTAATTCTGTTGTGTACAAAACAACAACAAGAATAAATGAAATAGAGAAAAGGAGAGAATATGTTTGATTACAAAAATCAGTCATTTCGGTCCATTTGTACATTCAAGTCAACAAAAGAAGACTGGACGACTCCATAAATTTGATGCATAGCACTCATGGATTGTTGACTTCTCATAATGTCAATAATTCCGGGTGTGCCTCCAATATAGTCCGATGGAGTAAGAGATGTGCCGACTCCATAAATTTGAGTTGGAGCAGTCATAAAACCTTTTCTTCTCATAATGTCCATACTTCCCGGTGTGCCACCAATATAATCTAACGTTGTGAGAGAGATGCCTCCAATAGCATTGACCATCTGTCCCTACTCAATTAAAATGACATGTTAAAAACAATTTAATAAACATTATTGAAAAATAAAATAAACTGATCGTTTTAAATTCATATGATGTACACGTACCGGCACATATATACTATTTTGCATGCTAACCATATAAGGATAAAGCTCTCTGCGTGCACTAGGTTGAGGTTGAGATTGAGCTTGTGTCACAACACAAACCTGCCCCTATAGGTTTAGCGTTGTAACCGGCCAATAATCCATGATTACCAAAGTCCTTTTTAACAATAATGACAGTAATACAATAATAAGGGCTAGCGAAAGCCAATCAATAATAAAAAAATATTGTCCAATGAGCTGTGAGGACTTAAGTGTATAAAACAAACTTTCATATACTTATATATATATATATACAGACACTTAAGTCCATAAAACACATATATACAAAATAGAACAC